CAAGTTTCAGCTGCTTGAATTTTGAAAGTTCATAACGCTGAATTTTTATTCCGATTCAATATATACATTTTGTAAATAAGAACATATTTTTTCACAATTATTAGATAATCAAACTTGGATGATAATAAAAATTGCTGTTTTAAATTAAAATTAAATATTATCAATTCTATATATATATATTTATTCTATGATTGAACTGTCTAATTTCGGGTTTGAAACGAATCTATTTTAAAGTACGAAATATTCCTTTCACCGGCAAACAAAACTACATCCTGATGAATTTTGTATTTGGAAAAAAACAACTGTATGTTCATTTTTTTTGCTGTGCAATTAAATTTTTTGTGCTTCAAAAAGCTTTCCTTTTTCTTTCCCCAATATTTGAACATACTGACAGTAAAAAGTCTGTGTTTAGTATATACTCTATATACATATACTTATTTCATTTTAAATGCAGAAAGTATAACATATACCGATATATCTAATGTATTTAAAAAAGACTATAAGAAATGTAACCGAAAAACAAGCGCAATATATACATACGAAAATATATTACAGGCAATAGGAGTCGACGCTGGTTATCAATTAGCGCAATTTTTCTTAATACTAAAAATATAAACCTTAACTTTGAACGTTTCCACTCATGGTTCGAGTCTTCATCAGCAATCTTTCCCCCTAGCGCAACGATTGGAATATTGCATGACAAAATGATTTCTCCAACGTATTTCTTCTCAAAAATTGAACCGTTTACTGTTTTGTGAGGTAAGTCACATACTCACAAAGTTAGAAAGCTGAGTGGCAATGAGAATTCAAGCTAAAATTATATGAAAGATTAGATTATTGTATGTATAATTTGAAAATTAATAATTACCTCACTTCACACAGTCGACGTTTCTACACTGAATCTCTCTTATGCAACATTTTGTAACTCGTTAATATATTATAAATTATCGTCAAATTTTTAAAAAATAACTACGAGAATAATATGTGTCTTGTCATTTCGACAGTCGGTTAAATAATGATTGCTAAACGAGTAACATAGCGGTCAATTTGAAAACAAACAAGTTTCTGACATATATTATATTACGAACAAGCCTTACAGTTTATTGAGGATTTCAATGTACGCATGATTTAAACCAATGGTATCATGTTGTAAATTCAGCCCATTGGTCTGTCGATTAATATGCATCATCTCTAATATTAACCTTTTATTATGATAATTTTTTACATCCAAAATCTCTACGTTTTGCCAATCAAAGTCATGATTTTGCAACCTATGTTCTGTGATCACTGAATGAGTGGATGTTTTACTATGGATGTGCTTTTTGTGTTCAGAAAGTCTGGTTTTTAATTTTCTCCTTGTTTGTCCCACATAAGAAACATCGCAATCACGACAGTTGATCTTGTAGACTACATTCCTTTTTAATTCATTATTTAAAGGATCTTTATGAACTTTAATAAACTGATTCAACTTGTTCAAACTAAAAAATGAAACCCTATGGCAAACCCCATTAATTGCATTCTTGAATTTATTCGATATCTCTTCCAAATACAGTATGGAAAACCATTTAACACGTTCTTTAGGTAAATTGTTATTTGTTTTTTCAGCTGAACAAGAGTTCAATTTATTTATTAATGTTTTAACTCTTTCATTAATAGTATCGAATATAGAATCTATTGGATAATCGTTTTCCAAAAGTATCTTAACCCTTCCCGTACCATCTACAATTTGGTGTCTCATCCATACCAACAAGAGTCACTAGAATCTCTTCGTTTTTTCACCTCTTCAAAATAATTCAAAAAATCTCTAAAAATTCACCAACATACTTCCAACTGTCTAGAATAAATATTGACTTTTCATTTTGGAAAATAATAAAATGTAGTATAATTTAAATAAATAATATTCGTAAAGGACTCTTAATAATAATAAAAATTAAATATGAAAACAAGGCATGTAAGAGTCAATACCAACGCAAAATATTAAAAAATAATCAAAATTCTATATTTGATAACATCAAAATTTTATATTTGATAACATCATATACAAACAAAATTTTGGCACGCCCATGGGCTCTCCTTTGTTACCGATAGTTGCTGATTTGGTGATGCAAAGATTAGAGAAGATGGCACTAAATATGTTTAAGAATAACACTCTTTTTTATTATAGATATGTTGATGACCTATGCGCTGCGGTTCTTTCATCTGAAGTTGACAATTTTTTAGATTGCTTTAATTCGTTCCACCCACGGTTAAAACTCACCCTGGAGATTGATGAGGATTCTTTACATTTTCTTGACATAAAAATGACGGTTAAAAATAATTTTTTATCTTTTGATTGGTGTCGTAAACCTAGTTTTTCAGGGAGGTTTTTAAATTTTTATTCCAACCACCCGTTATCTCAAAAAAAGGGGGTTATCATTAGTTTGGTTGACAGGGCTATTTTATTGTCTGATTCGGAATTTCATAACAAAAATTTGACTCTTATAATTAATATTTTACGAGATAATGATTATCCGCTTAAACTTATATTTGATGTTATTAATAAAAGACTAAATTAAGAACATCAGAGTTAGAGGTGCAGCGTGTAATAATCAAGATCATAATAGTGGTGACCAAGTAACCGATGTTTCTTGGTTCACAGTGCCATTCATTCCGTTAGTAACAGAAAAATTCAATCAATTTAATAGGAAAGATATCAAAGTCTCGTTTTACAGTATGAATAAATTACAGAAATATATCAAGGTACACAAGGATCCTCGTCTGTCTAAAAATAATGTTGTGTATAGGATTAATTGTAATGATTGTGATGCATCGTATGTAGGACAGACGAGTAGACAGCTAAGAACACGTATTGCTGAACACCGAAACCATATACGTTGGAACACTTCGTCTCGTTCAGTTATAACAGAACATAGATTAGAGAGTAGTCATGATTTCAATTGGGATGAAATAGAAATTCTTGACGAGGAACCTTGTTACCATAAGCGATTGATTTCCGAGATGCTTCATATAAAAGAACAAAAGAATAGCATCAATCTTCAAACCGACACTGAGGGCTTACATAAGGCATACATTCCGATTGTAAACAAATTTAACTTTGTATAGCCAAGATCATACCAATGTAAGTAATTTTCTGTTAGTCAGTGTTTGTCCGTTGAAACAGTTATACATATGTAATTTTATCTCTGGACTTTCTACAATTTTTATACTTTGATTGTCTATTATTGAAAAATATAATTTATTGGAATTGGACTCTGTGATTTACATTATGACGAATATTAATTATTATTTGCTATGACACTGACTGACAAGAAGATTATGAATATTTCATCTTCGAGTTTTTAAATTGTTGACGTAT